AGTTGTTGGGTTTGGTTAGTGATAGTGTCGTATATATATATATATATATATATATATATATATATATATAAGAAAATGCTGGGATTAGCCCACTAGCTCATATGAACATATGAGCCCAACAGCCCAAATTGAATCTAGGCCGATCGAAAATTTACATAAAGATAATACCATCCTCCTCACCAAGTTTCAGCATGGATATCATTGAATACGTTGCAATAATGCAACAAAAGAATCCCAAACTATCAAAAGCCGAGCTTAAAAGAAAGCTACTACTGGCCTTGGAAGAAGACAATGATAAAATGTTTACGAAAGAAGAAGAAGAGACAGAAGACTACAGTTCACTAAATGGTGATGACTGTGCAGGAATTAACTCCTCCCCAATGAATTAAACAGATAGAAGCGGTACGACTCCAATCCACGTAGGACACGTGTCCCTAAAGCTACAGTAAAAGAAAGAGCATTATTGCCACCGACAAAACTTTCATTGTAGAGATTATTACTTTTCTTTACTTTAATAAAAGGAATCTTGCTTTTCAAAAAGACATCGGTGCGGATTTTAAAATGCTTTGAAGTCCGCCTTCTTCCTCTTTATAAGGAAGGAAGACCGAAGGAGAAAGCCCTGGGTGTTTGTTTCAGTTTGTAAGTTTTATCTGTTTGAGTTTGAGTGTTTGAGTATTCGTGTGCTTGTAAGATCAGTTTGAGTTTGAGTGTTTGTGTGCTTGTAAGATCAGAGAGGACCTGTGGGATACCACTCGATTGGGACAAGTGTATCATGTAAGTGTCCTTTAATTGATCATATTCATCTTCTACTTCTCTTTCTTTAGAAGTATTCCTTTCTGATTTCCTTTCTTTTGAATAGTTGCTTATTCGCTTTGTTTTTTTTATTTCACTTTTCTTTATATCAAATGACGGTCACAACCTCATTTCGTGTTTGAATTTTAATTTTTTTCTACAAATCCAAATCATTTGAAATTTTAGGCGTGTGTTCTTCTCATCAAGGCGCACCTAATAAAAATATAAAAAAAATTATTCGAGAAAAATAAATGATCAAAATACCCCCAAAACTTTTTAGGGGTATTTTGGTCAATTTATTTCATGTAAAATAGTTTTTTGATATTTTTCGAAGATTCAAATATTTTTTATGAACACATTCCTAAAATTTCAAGTGATTTGGATTTGTAGAAAAAAAAATTAAAATTCAAACGCTACCGGACATCCGTGTTCGTCAGATCAGCCCAGATTCAATCTGGGCCGTTGGGCTCATATGTTCATATGAGCTAGCGGGCTAATCCCAGCTTTTTCCTATATATATATATATATATATATATATACATGCACACATATATGAAAAAACCTTAAAAACGCCTATAGGCGAAATGCTATAGTGTTTCACCACCGCCACGGACTTTCTATGTTTGTGGCGATTTATTGGACGGACGGGAAACGGGCAGAGTGGTTCTGCGTGATTTTTTTACCATCACGGACTGGTATGTCTGTGATGGTACCGCCACAGACATGCTAGGTCCGCGGCGATCAAAAAAGCATGCCACCCGATTTTTTCGGACTGTGATGAGCCTATGGGCAAAAACACTGTTCATTTTCGCCCATAAGCATTGCGTAGTGTCTTCCATATATACAAAAAAGTTTATATAAGGTTGCAACCTTAAAATATAAAATTACATATGCACCTCAAAAATCCATTGGAAAAGGTTGTTTTAATGTTGAAAAAACCTCTAATTGAATATCTCCACATCGATATGAAAGAATAGTGCATCTTGCAATACATTATCCAGACCGTTCACTTTCAAGATTTTCATATTTTATAGATCTACTTGATTTTAACTATTTTTGGACTTCAAAATTTTATAATTAGATATGAAAATAGATTTTCAGATAATCCTAAGAATTTTTTTCACAAAAATTACATGTTATGATAAAATTTGGAGGTACACTTAATTGGACCAGGACCCTCATTTAGCTCTCCTCGTCCAACGGACAGACTCGCTTAGTGAAGTTTTTTTCATTTCCAAGAGGAAAATTATAGTGCCCCCATGATGTGGACGCTAGATAAGTGCACAAGCATCCTCCTAATGTTTCAAATTAAAAGAAAAGAAAATGGACGGTCATGATTGTTTGCGATGTTTTATCTTTGAGTTTTCTTACAATTTTGACTAATTTGAATTTTTAGGCATCGACAACCTTCAATCACACAAACCTAAAAAAGTCGCAAAAAAAATTGACCAAAATACCCCAGAATGTTTCATGGATCTTTTGGTCAATTTATTTTATGTAAAATTTTTTTATACCTAAGTCAAAAACTCATGTCAATCGGACAAATAGAAATATAAAGTAATTTACAATACTATACTGAATCATGGCCAACCACATTTTCCCCTTTAATCTGAACCGGTGAAAGGTGCTTGTGCACTCCTCCAATGTCCACATGATGTGGATGCTATACTCCTTTTGAGAATCTCCCTTCTCTTTAAACATATCTACCATGTTTTTAGGTTTAAGCACACGACAATGTAGAATCCTCCTATTGAAAAACAATACTAATAACTCTACCACCTTTGCTTCAACAAATTACACCATGAAAGGCTCCTATTGGGAATGTGGGCACTGTTAAATACAAATATAGTCATCAAGAAATGACAAAGTTCATCTAAATTTTCATTTGCCAATATAAGAACAACATCATGATATAATGGTCCATTCCCAACAGCCAGTGATTAGCTAATTTTATTTCCTAAGTACTCAACGAATTTCCAAGTATTGTAGCAGAAGTTGACTTTTGAATCAGGAGCAGAGTCATCAAGCATAGCTATCGGAAATATTTCAAATAATCATTTTTTTATTTCAAATATTCATTATATTGTCCCTATGGATGTCAATCAAATTTTCCTACAAAGCAAGAAACTACTTCCTCCCAATGTCTAGTTTGTGAAAATTTATGTTGTTCTGTAATAGCAGTAGTCATCATAATCTATCTTATAAGAAATGCTGCACATAGGGCACCCCAATAGTCTTTTGTTCATGTGGGCTTCATTCCTCATATATTTAATAAGTAATCAAGCAACAAGCATATACCGTTACTGACAAGCCCAAGCATGAATCAATATTCTTTTCATTTTACATCCAGCAGTAGCGTAAAGAGCCTCTCATAATCTAATACACTATGAGTAGGTCTCAGGTTTGATTCCTACAGCGGAACTACCCAAAAAAGATAATTCTAAATGCACCAGTACGTCCCTCACGGCAACTATAACATATTACCCGGAGGGAAATTTTGCATAGAGTAAAAAGGTGGGTTTTGTTTCATTCTCAGAATTAAACTGTACCATTTACAACAGTATCAAAAGTAAGACTTACATGATGCAGATTGGTTTGACCATGCTATACAAGGATTCGATAACTCCCACCGATCCTCCACGAACCTTCCAATGCCCAATTTATCAAATTAATTCATTGGAGTCGAATGCAAATGGGTAAGGAACAGACAAAGGAAATATCCCTATTAAAATAGAAATATAGGATAAAAAAAAAAAAAAGCAAAGGAATGACACAAAGGAATTGAGGAAAAAGCCCACCTGCAAATTGACATTACCAGTGACTGAAACTCGAATGCCTTGGTGAGCGATTGGAGAGGGAGATGTAACTAAGATCTTCCCTTGCACAGGTTCCTGTATTGTTTTCGTTTATTCATTTGCAGGAGTGTAACTTTACTTTATAGTGAGAGTAACGAGAGAGATTTTTACAAGGAATTTTGTAGTGACAGAAACAGAGAGTAAAAAGGATGGAGTCCCTTTCAATTTCCTTACAGATGGTCGATAAACGCGATTGGGGCGTGAAAGTTTGAGTTCTACAGACATGATGATCGTAGCTTCTCTCCACCTTTTCTTGAGAGCTCGAGAGGACACAATCAACGAAAAGCGGAGGGACTCATCTGAGGTATACTCTTTTATCAGAAATTTACGTATTAGGTTTTAATTACAAAATGGGATCGGGTTTTAATTACAAAATAGGATCACGTTTCTTTCAAATTACGAGCGGCTCCTGTAGCTTTTTTTCTTTTCTTTTTTCTTTTTTCTTTTTTTTCTTAAGTTATTTTTTTATCCAGCAATGTAAATACCGGATAGGAAGAGGGCTATTTTTTTTTCCAAATAAAAAAAAAATTATCAGGCGTTCAAAATACCGAATCTCCAAAGTACTAAGACTAAACTAGATAAAAAAATCTAATAGAGGAAAAAATAGAGACGTTAGTACTTGAAAGATTGAGAAGTCGGGCAAAAAAGAGAGTGTGATCATAACATAGAAAAGCTTGAAAAGAGACAAAGACAGGTTGGGGCTTGAGAAATGAATAGAGAAACTAAAAACCAATTTGAAGAAAGCAAGGCTTCATTCTTCTCCAAGACAGAGGGATAAGCTACTCTATTTCATTTTGACAAAAATTGAGATTACGAGCTTGTGATTAATTCTTTTATCACCACTTTCTCTTATCTTCACATGTATTGGGCTCCTCCTTATTCACCTCAATATAAATACATCAAAAATGACATATAACAAGTCCAACATTCACATACAACTTGAGCTATAGTCCCTACCTTCTATAAATATCCAATTGGAATCCAAAAGCCATTAAGATTAACTAAAATCCAATTAGGATAAGATTAACTAGAATTTAGATTAAATTGGGACCATTCCAAAACTCAAATAGGGATAAGATTCAAAATTAAATCTAAGAGAAAATCATGCATCCTAAAAAGTAAAGGTGATGAATTTCTAATGATGCAGAGCACCTCATAGCTTCCAGAAGGTTTGACGATGCGGACAGTGTCACAGAATTTCAATCTATCTAGAATTTTGATAAGCATGGGAAGATGTGTAAAGATGCGTGAAAAGGCCTACTTTGGGATCCAATCCAAAATATAGCATTCAACATCTAAGGAGCCTTAAAGAATTGAGATCTTTAGATCCATATCTTTTTATATATCATGAACCCTTTAGGAGCCTTAAAGAATTGAGATCTTGAGATCCATATCTTTTTAGATATCATGAACCCTTGAGCAATTAGAAATCGCAGGAAGAGAAAACCCTAAATTAGGAACACCTTAGCTCAAAACTCTTAGAATCCTCTATTAGCCTCCAAACCGTAAGTGCATTCAAACCCCCCACATAAGGTCTAGGGGCCTAAAACTCCAAAAAAAAAATCTAATTTTTCAAAAAATCAATTTAGGAAACCATTTTAATAACCAAATTGGGTAAATTCTTCAAGAAGAGAGAAGGTAAAGGAATAAACCAGTACACGGCTTGATACAGGCTCAACTGGAGGTTTCAGGCATTCTGGCTAACTGGCTAGGCTTCGGTGAAGTGTCCTTTTCTTTTATTTTCTTTTCCAATTTATTCATTTCCATCGCATTAAAATATTTCATTTGACTCGAAAGAATTAGTCGACGCTGCCGACAATCTGTAGAGGAATTTGTCCATCACGATTAATTCATCTGTAGATTGCAATTCAACCACCCGCGCAAATCTATACTGATTTATAAATTTATCTAATTTATAGTGTTAAATTAGAGGGCATTTTATCAGACATGTTCTTAGGTTTGGTCTATCATCATTTTGACACCCACCATGGGCTAGTTGAACAAATTATTCTCATCAAAAACATTAAAAGCACAAACACGTCCCAAAAACCAGAACACACCAGGGATTCCAGATTAGGCCAGGACCCCCCTTAACACTAAATGCGCCTCATGTCGTTGGAAATTCTCTTTCCTACGAGGCGCCTCGCATCGTTTTGTGCAGAGACACCCCGAAAAATGTATAGGCAGTCCCTCCCTCTTCTGTTGTGCTCTTGATCTCTATTTTTTATTCTTGATCTAGGAAAGGAATTATTTTTTCATTAAAACTTTGGTTCATAGAGATTGTGTTGTTACATGCACTCACCTACTCGTTCTCTTCTCTACACTTTATGCATACAACCGGTGGTTTAAAAAACCTATCGGTGCTCCGGATCGGTTTCTCCAAAAACTCATTCGGATCGGTGAATTGACGATTCGGATGGGGAATCAACCGAATCGGTCAAATTAAACCTTAAATAAAATCCAAAAAAATTATTAAAATTCATTATAAATATTTGTTTTTAAGAATCTAATAAGAAATGATGGTACTACATTATTAACTTTCATTTTTTTCATCAATTTGTGAATATTGAGATGTTTTTTCCCTGTATGAACTTATATTAACTATTAAATTTGCATCACATAAAAGAAAAATTATAGAATTATCATGGATAAAATATATAATCATACATAGACTACAATAAATAATGGATTAAATCGATGAAAAAAGAACCACTAAAATCTCGAATTGTTGTATTATCTTTTGTTTTATTTTTTCCTTTTATTTTTTTGATGACATTATTTTCTTCCTTTTATTTTTTTTTGGAAGTTAAATTGTTTTTTTGACAAGAAATGCTTGTTGTATTATCTTTTATTTTACTTTTTTCTTTTTATTTTTTTGATGACATTATTTTCTTCCTTTTATTTTTTTTGGAAGATAAAAATAAAACTCTTTTTTTTATGACATTATTTTCTTCCTCCTTTTTTTTTTTTGATGATATTATTTTCTTCTTTTATATTATTTTTTATGACATTATTAAGACAAAAGTCAAACGTTAAATACATCGGCCCAAAGGGTCTCACCTTTTGATGACATTATTTCTTCATTTAAATTATTTTTTATGACATTATTTAAAAGGTTCTCACTTTTTTATGATATTATTTTATTCCTTTATATTATTTTTTATGACATTATTCCTTTATATTATTTTTTATAACATTATTTAAGACAAAAGACAGTAAAATGTTAAACACAGCGGCCCAAAGGTTCTCACTTTTTGATGAAATTATTTTATTCCTTTATATTATTTTTTATGACATTATTTAAAATGTCCTCACTTTTTGATGATATTATTTTCTTCCTTTATATTATTTTTTATGATATTATTTAAGAAAAAAGTAAAAACATTAAACACAGCAACCCAAAGGTTCAAACATGAGATCTTCTAATGAGAATCCAACGTGATAAGCAACTCACAACGCCACCATATGTTCTATTTTTTTTTATAATAATTCAATATATTGAATTAAGATCTCAATGTTGGGCATTGAGAATTGTCTCACATCGAAAAGAGGTCGGACAGACAATACGTATATAAGAAATTGCAACAACTTTGCTCATGAAGAATAGCTTGAGATAGGAACCACGTTCAAAGCACGAGTTCACCATGTGAGATTTCTCCACAATTCGCGACTTTTAAACGGCATACAACACAAAAAAAAAACTTAGCGAAAATTACAAAAAAAATCCCAAGACCACACTTTTTATGCAACTTACCCGTAACCAAGCTTTTTTTCTCACTTTTTTCCCCAAAATAAACTTTCTATGCAAATACCCCCCAAGGGAAAAAATTAATCTTTTAACCTGCATACAACACAAAAAAAACTAGCAAAATTACAAAAAAAACCTCAAGACAATACTTTCTATGCAACTTACCCCCAACCAAGCTTTTTGTCCCACTTTTTTTCCCCAAAACAAAATTTCTATGCAAATACTCCCAAACGAAAAAAGTTCATTTTTTTTAGACGGAAATGCCCTTCCCGTACACAAAAATCAACGACACAACAAAAACTAGGAAAAATTACAAAAAAATCCTCAAGACCACACTTTATATGCAACTTACCCCAAAGCAAGCTTTTTGTCTCACTTTTTTCCTCAAAACAAACTTTCTATGCAAATACCCCCCAAGGGAAAAAGTTCATTTTTTTTGGACGGAAATGCCCTTCCCGTACACAAAAATCATTTTGGTCAGATTTGATGTTGACTTTAGGATCCTAGTATCACACTATCACATTGCCAAAGGGCACAAGTGTCGGACCGCCATTTGCAACTGCCAGATTGCACTTTGTAACTGCCGGACCGCCCTTTGCAACTGCTAAACCGCTTTTGCATTTGTCGGACCGCCCTTTACAACTGCTGGACCACCCTTTTCAATTGCCAGAGCCCTATTGTCGGACTACACTTTATATAGTGTCGGAGTCCTACTATCGGACCGCACTTTACACAGCGCCGGAGCGCTATTGCCAGACCGCACTTATACGGTGCCGGAGCCCCCTATTTTGGTGGGATAGAGGAGAGAGACGCATGGGTGGGACCGCACTTTACACAGCGCCGGAGCGCTACTGCCGGACTGCACTTACACGGTGCCAGAGCCCCCTATTTTGGTGGGATAGAGGAGAGAGAGGCATAGGTGGGATAGAGGAAAGAGAGGCGTGGGTAAAGTAAAAGTAAGGGAAGGTAGTTTAGGCATTTTTTTATTTTTTTTGGATTGGGGGGTTTTGCATAACAAGTATATTTTTTAGAAAAAAATGAGAGAAAAAATTAGATTACAGTAAATTGTATAGAAAGTGTAGTTTTGAGATTTTTTTCAATTTTCTAAAAAAAATTTAATAAATTAGCAAAAATTCCAAAGAAGACATTAATACTAAAAAGGGCACAGGCTTCTAGGAATTGGGATAATTGGAAGTTGCGTAACTTATTGAGCACCCCTTTAGTAGTCCTTGCTACTAAAAGTACTCCGATATAGTAAGACCCCATTGCAATACCCATAAAAGGTTGTTTAGGTCTTATGTGGTCCCGATTTAGACCTAGTCACATTTTAACCTTTTTTTAGTTCGGAAACCCCACGCCGGCCTTCCTTACTTCTAAAGTCAGGCAAATTGATTTCAAACCATTTTCGTGGGGTTTGGACTCATCTAAGTCCAGGTCCAAGTCAGTTAAGATGTTGGTCAGCCAAGGTGACACGGATATTGAATCAACTGTGGCATCTAAGCCTAGGGTTGTGGCCTCAAATAATCCCAGCGGTC